TATATATTATTTACATATAATAATCCTTTAAATACTAGTTATTCATAAAAAAGGTTAAAATATAAAGGAAAAAATCCTGGCTACAGTATACAAAAACAAAGTAAAGCTTGCATCTTTGCAGAAGGATGAGAATAACAATTTTAATAAAAATAAATTAATTAAATAAATTAAGCATATGCCTATAACTGATATTAAGAATATTCAAAGTGCCGTAATTTCTTGTAATATCAGTGCAGTAATTTCTTGTAACCCAGTTAGATAATTAAAAGTGTGTTTCATAAAAATAATAACTCCTAAAAATTATGCATTGTTATTTTTATGAAAATAATGAAAAATAAATACACTTGCTAGTATTGTTACTTTCTTCATTAGTAATATTTGGGATAGTTACAAGAAAAATTACTTATTTTTGCACTAAAAATAAACCATAAGTTGCTTTCTGACATTCTTATTTAAAAAATTTTAGTTTATTTAAAATTAGAAGGCAAAAATAAAACTAGGCTCTACATGTCTTGTACTTCAAATTACAATGAAATTCATCTACAATAAATCCTAATCAACAATTTCTTTCTTTATAGGTTAAAAAAAAAACTATCCTAATCAACAATTTCTTTCTTCATAGGTTAAAAAAAAACTAAGTTCTTTTGGAATTCTAATCTGAAAATAAAATTTTTTAATGTATCAAAATTATTTAAGGAGACAAAAGAAAAAAGTGATGTACGTGAATGTGTAGGACATTTAAGGAGAGTATAACAAGATGTTACTCTAATTACGTAAAAATGAAATACATTAGAAAATTATCTATCCATAAGAATATGAACTCGCAAATATGATATACAAAAAATGATAGTCAGTTTGTTTATAATATGAGCACAGGGATTGAATGAATTTGCTATTTAAACCTGTGTTGGTAGAAATTAAAAGATATAAAACCTATAATTTACAAAAATAATTAAAAAATGTTTTAAAATGAAGGAATTTTTCCTTACACTAGAAAATTTATTGAAGATAAAAATGAATGAACTTTATTGATGATTAAAGTTTGTGTCTTTCTATAGCAGTAGTTTTTAGTGTAGTTAACACATGCACAACAAATTTCCAATAACAATTTAGTGGCAACTACTGGCAAAATCAGTGCTGTTTTTTTAAGTAAATAAAAACATTCACTAAATTTCTCACTGATAATAGATATTATTTGGTAGTGACTTTTTAAAAATAAATGCTCAGATTGCAGTCTTATCATACTTGTTAAGACTGAATACTGTTGATTGAACATATGTTTTTACAATTTGAAAATAATTTTTAATATCATTGAAAATAATTTTAATTCGAAAACAAAGTGCATTAGCGATTTTGATTAAAATTTGGATCATCAAATTAATGTAGAGTTAAATAAAAGCAAGTTAAATAAATCTGATAATACATTCTTATCAAATAACTGTTTTACCAATTTTGTTATAGTTCATATCAAGCAAATCACTGAGACCAATTTCATGGAAAAAATCATCTTGCCAACCTTCCTTCACTAAATCTCCAGCGAGGTAAGTCCATTTACATACCAAGGAACATAATGATCTAAAATATAATTATCAAAATAATTCAGTAATTTTTAAAAATAAAATATACTATTCAAAACAATTTAACCTACTGACGATTCTGCACGAAAAAAGTCCTATTTTAACCTTTAGTCTTTTGTGCACAGCAAAACCTATTTTTCACGTTATTAGATAGAGAAATAGTGTGCAGGGGAGAAACTTTTGCCTTTTTGCAAAACTGCCAGTGAGTTAAACAAACACAAGTAAGAGTTTTAAAAAGATGAATTGTTTACTTATGTGTTAACAACAACAAAATACAGTCTACTCTCACCAAGTCAAACTTTAAAACCAAGGAAATCTGAATTCTGTCTGCACTTGCTATTCTTATAATATATAAAACTTAATTTTTACTTAATTCTTATCTGAAGAATTTTTCATGTTATAAAATACGTTTCTTTAATTAAAAAAAATTTAAATGTTTTAATTTCCTGTCTTGATTTTAGCCACAGTAGCCAACAAAATACAAATGGCCTGATAAAAATGCTAAATTGCATTTTTTATTAATAATTGTAAGATTCACATTATTATTCCAGAAACAAAACTTGTAAAAATAAAGCTCTTATCTCTAAATTACTACAATAAAGTTATGGTCATCAAAACAAGGTATCATATAAAACATTAAAAAAATTTTAAAAAATTGAAACCAAGCTGAGATAGAAAGTTTTACATATAATATATGCAGAAAAATAATAAATATTTTTGATATTTAAATGATAATGAAACAATGATAACATAAGAGAAAAAAACATAAATTATGCAACTTAGATAATAACTTCGAATAAAAGAAAGCTTCTTTTGAACTACCTATTATGTAGTAGAACAGGGAAATAGAAAAAGGTTGAGATAAAGATCTATAAAAATATAGACATAAGATATTTTTTTAAGAAGTCAGAATCATTTGAAATCAAAAATAGTTTCAGTGACATATGTAAAGAGGGGGTTTGGATGTGTCTTTAAGTTTATAGAGCGGTGGTTTGACAGTAACTTAATTTTTATTATAAAAATAATCAATTATTGTGTTGTGAAAAATTTTCAACATTAAACATAAATTGAATAATACCTCTGAAAACTACCAGTTGCTTTCCAAGTGAGGTAATCTGGTAAATCAAAAAAATAACCGACCTTGGACCACTGAAGTGGCATATTCTGAAAATTCAATGAAAGAATTATTTCAATGTTTCTAAAATACTTAAAGAATAAGATCAATGCTTTAAGAATCAGTGAAACAAAGTTCTTAAAAAGTTAAACAAACCTTTTTTCTTTTTTAAAAAAAATCTTTATAACTAACGACTTATTATTTATTGAACTCTTGCAAAAAGAACAAAGATTACAGACAAGCAATTTATCAAAATTATTTCACTGAACAAACTGTGATTTTTGTGTTAACTAGTAAATATACCATTCTTAAAGTATGATGATATAGAAAAACATCAACAAAATAATATTGTGGCTTTTTACAACAAAAGATATCAGGTAAATTATTATTCTCGATTAGATATACATTTTCATAATACTGCATATGACAATTAATTTTTTGCATAAATTTATTTAAATGAACTTGTTTAAATTATGTGAATCCACAGTTTTTGATCCATGCTTTAATTAAAAAAAAGTAAATAAGAAATGGTTAATAAATGATTTAATCATTTAATGATTTATTTTCAATAAAAGAAACTAAAGCAAGAAATTATTCCACAAAGATTGCACATGATTATAAAAAAAAACAACAGCTCAGGATTAAACATTTCCATAAAGAATTACTTAATGAAGTATCTTAAGCAACCATAAATAAAAATTACCTTCTTAATCCACAAAATTTTTGGAATTTCCATTTCCGGTGATATTTTACCCCCGACAAATTGTAACACTTTATGGCATGAATTGTTAATAATGTTGGCTTCATCTATAGCCCTATGATCCATCCAAAGGATAATATTGAGATCAGGATTTCCTTAAAAAATTAAAGAAGAAAAAAAACAGAGTTGTAAAAAATTAAAATCAAAGCAAATTACATTCTAGTTTTACTAAAATAAAATTGTCACATATTTATCACCTCAGTACATAATATAAGCAACACAATTTTGGTACAACTAAAACAAAAGAAGATGAAATTGAACCACAGAAACCATTACAAAAGTATTTTAAATGGACTTATGCTTACATTGTACACATTTGTTAGTACAGTACAGAACCCGTTATCCGGAAATCAGAAAACCGGAAGACCAAAAAACAGGAACAAAATTCGATAAATTTTCCCGCCATTAAAAATAAATTTTTTTTTTCCTTCTCCTCATAAGATTTTAGGATTTTTCTTTCTTTTTGGAAAGATGTTTACCTTACTATCATTTTGGAAATAATCATTAGTGTATTACTTCGTTTTTTCTTCTTTTTAAGCTTGTTTCCTAATATTACTTTTTTTAGTTGGGTTTAACAATAAAAAAAACGGCTTTTTGTAGCGAATCGGAAAACCAGAAAAATCAGTTACCCGGAATAGGGATGGTCCTGATCGTTCCGGATAATTGGTTCCCTACTGTAGTTACAGAAATCACTGAAGACAAGTTTCTTGCAATGTGGAAAAAAACAGAAAGAAAAAAAAACATGGAAAACTGCAACAGAAGAAATAGGTTTCTTCCAATCAAGTAGAAGAAACTATATTTCAAAAACAAATGACAAATATTAAAATTTTTTAAGCAGTTTATAATTGAAATCTAAGTCAAATAATAGCATTGATTTTCAGGCTATTTAACATATTGTTTTTAAGTATATGAAAACTAAAAAACAACAAATGGAAGAATAAATTCAATGAATTCCTTAAGAAATTAAAAAAAAAAGAAGAAATAGTGCTTCAATATTTTACACAAATCAGAACAGACCTTAAAAGTAAAATCATATTTTATTTATAAAGAACTGTAAAAATATCCTAATCAAGTCTAATTTCTGCTACCATATAAAATTGGGAGCTTGCAAGATTCTGTATTTGAAAAATTCCAATAAAGCAAAGTTGCAAGACCAAAACTATACCAAAAAAAAAAAAAAAATCAGATTCAATCATAAATCTACTAGGTATAGGAATTCTACAATTTTACACTTGGTTTTTAAAAACTCGATAATTCAACACTCTATTTTGACACACAAATTCTGAGTTGTGCTATTAAGTAATCTTTTTTATGCGGTTAATTTTTGATGATTAAATCATAAATTCACTAGGCCATGTTGTTGAGTCTTCCTACAGTTATCCCGATGCATTTTTTTATGGTATTAAAATCTTGATATTTTTAATAAAATATTGTTACAACATACAAACTTTGAAATGAAATTAAAGTCACTTTTGACAGGCTAGATTTCACTATAAATTAGATTGATTTTTGAATTGTTTTAATAGCAGTTGTTATCAATTTTTACAAAGTTTTTCATAACTTGATGTCTTTAAAGCAACATTATTATGACACATGAAATTTGAATTAAGTATTAGAGAATCTACATTTTAATGCAGCACTCTGTGCGCTATATGATATTATTTTCTGATTCAAGTAATCGGTGCGGAATTTTTTAAAATCTAAATGCTCCCAATAGTATCCCGGCACATGCATTTGAGTAATCATTTTTTGACAATCTCAATTTACAGCAATTTTATTCTAAATTTTCACATATCTTGCTATCACATCTTTAGCAGTTATTGGTACATAATTAGGCATAGTTAAGATTGACTTGTTTAGGTATGCCAACATTAAGTTATGTGAATTTCTGCACCTTACCTCTAATTTAACAATGATTTCGCTTATTTTTTTGAAAAAAATATTAATTGAAATAAAAAAAATTTGAGTTTTTAGGAGTTTTCTGGATTTTAAAAATCCAGATTTTTGAAATTATTCTGTACTAAATTAAAATACTCCATACTAACCATAGATGTTATGATACATTATAAATGGAATTCACATTTACATAAACTCAAGAACACACTAAAACTCACTCTTAAATAATATGATACATAAATTTTAATATTCCAGTTCAAACAAAAATAAATAACAGGAAAGTAGTTATTCTTTTAAGAGTTGATATGGAAAAACTTTTAAACTCTTGTACTATATTTAACTCAATTTGTTTTGAATTTAATTATTATTCCTACAATACTTATTGCTAAACAATTATACTATTTGTTATTTTCAGCTTTTTTCATTTTGCCCAGTTTTTTAGGTTTTGTTCAGTTTTTTAGATTTTGCTCAGTTTTTTCTGATTACTTGCAAAATACTGGAAAAATAGGTCTTTCCCAGACAAAATGCCAACCATAATGCTGATATCAACAAGAATTCTCACTTTAGAATTTTTAAATAATTTGAATAATAAATAATTAATTTGAAGAAAAAAATTAATAAATGCAGACACACAAGATTTTGCTTTACATTTTTATTGTTATAAATATTTATTCCAACACTTAAAATTATAAGACATAAATTTGCAAGGATACCAATTAACTCATTTCAAGAATAACAAATGCACAAAATAAATTTAGAAAAAGCTCTGTACGATTATTTCATAAACATGATGTACCTGTTTTACTTAAACTTAATGGCTTCATTTCCTTATCTAAAGCAACTAATGAGCAAGTGGCATCAAATCCTATGCCTCCAATGACACAAGGATCAATATCTTTTATGACTTGCTAAGGAAAAGAAAATTCTCTTTTAGTTCATGTAGCAGATATAAGACACAAAAATTAGATTTTGTAAGGACACATTTACATAAGAAACATTACACAATTCAAAATTAAATTGTGCATTAATAAGTAAAAAAATAATCTAACTGCAAAATTAACAACTTTTATTAATGTTACGCTAATAAAATTGTTTGTTATTTTGCATGTAAAAAGTTTTAAAAAAAGTAAAACAAATAAATGAAATTTCATACATCATAAAACAAAAGAGGGCATATTTATGCTGATTAAATAAAAAATCCCAAAATTAAAATCATGACTTAAGTGCATCAGTAAAATCAATTAAAGCAAATATTTAATTTTCAATTGCTTGATGATATAGCAAATTTTGGTCTACCAAGAAATAAATGCAAAATCTAAATTAAAAAGAAGCTTTTGGCTTTTTGCAATTGTACTATTTACTTAATAATTTACATTTCAGAGAAAGATAGAATTTATAAAGTTAAACAATTGCAATATTAAATAGCAGATGTAAAATATAATGTATAGAAATTTAATTCCATTTGTTTTACTTCAGCACTTCAAAAACCTTCATCTCTGAAATGTATACCAACTTTAATAGACTGGACACAAAGATCCCATATATCATCAGCAGATTGTTCATACATGTCAACATATGGATTGCATGTTGTTATAGGCAAAGTAGCAATTTTAGCAACTGATCCATCTACTCCAACTAGTCCAGCTCGTACACTTTGAGTTCCCACATCAACGCCAACAAAATATTTTGCTTTCATTTCTAATAAATAAAATAAAAATACATGAAATAAAAAAAGAAATTAAAACTTCTAAAAAAATTTACATATTAATTTAAAAAAAAAAAAAAAAAAGAAATTCAGATGTGTTCTCTCAAAAATTGACAAAAATGTATACATAAAAGAAAGAAAATTTTTTAGGACACATACTTTTGAAGGTAGATTCGTAAAATTTTATAAACGCTCAAGTAATGAACACGTTTATCATGAAACAAAAAGAATGAGATATCATTTCAGACAGATAGATAGGGAAAAAAAAAAGAAAGAAAAAAAAAAAAAAAAACAGATGTTTTGTTTTGTTGTGATAGTGATTGATTATTTGATACGTTCCGGACTGCTTGTTTCTGTAAAAAAGAAGGACCTCTCAAAACATGATATAATTTCAATATAGATGGCGTCTCTCGTTTAATGCAGTTGAAGCGCTTCCGATTGCGGCAGAGAAAAATGGATAACCTGATTGGTAAATTTTTCGCCGGGAATGGACAATTACAGACTCTCTTAATTTTTCTTATTATCATTTCTAACTTATTGGAAATTCTCTCCTAAAATCGAAAATTTTATTTTTTTTGTCAAATGTTCTTTTATTTGGTCATTAAACATTTAAATTGCTCAAAATGGCCTCTGTAAGTGATGCAATAAAAAACGATCACACGTAGCTGAATGAAAAAATGCCGCCTCCATTCGCTATCGCCTTATAAGGCTATTTCAATGCTCTTTTAGTTTTAATATCACTTATATCGTATGAACATCCTTTGTAAATTACAAGTAAAAATTTTCTGCATTAAAGTTGCGGTTTTGAGAGTGTGTGCAAAATGAAAGAAAGATTTTAAAACTTTCAACTGCTTTATTTATTGCTAAAATACCTGAAGAAATAATTATGCAACTCTTCACAGCTAATCAACATTTCCTTTCGGCTGAAATCTATGTGTTAAAGTTCATAGAAAATATTATTCTATTCGACTTAATTTTAAGTTGAAATTAATCTCCATTACTGCCGAATTACTTTATTAAAATCAATCACAAATTACATAAAAACAATATACATTTAGGTATAGGATAGATGATTTTATTATTCGTTATTAACATTAAAAAAAATCAGTATTTCATAAATTTAGTCACTTGAAAAATATCAATCTATCTTCATCACAATCCATGTTCTAATCTTCGATAATACAAATTAATGTAGTTTAATTTTGCTTCTTTTATTTATTTATTTAATTAACTAGAGTTGAAGGAATTTCTTTTTAAGTAAATATTTACTAATGCAGTCTATGTCTTCTTCTTTTTACTACGTATTAAATATTTAAACACTCATTAACGCGTATTTTTATTATTCTTTGAGTAAATAGGAATTTTGCTGCGGTTAGAAATTATTTCTATTTTTAAATTGACAGTTTCAATTCCTTTTTCTGCAATATAGTATTTACAAAGTATGGCTATTGTTAATTTCTCTCCTTATTTTTGAAAACTATTTGGCAGTGCTTGCAGTGAAGAATTCTAAAACAATAAATTAATACATAATATAAAATTTAATAAAAAAAATTAATTAAAATAGCTAAAAAAAAATCTCAGATTAAGCATTTGGTATCGTCGTAACCGAATCAACACTTTCAAGAATCTAGCCCATTGAAATATAATTGTCCAGCATCATCGCCATAATCTACTTAAAATTAAAATTTCACTTAATGTTACATAATTTAACCACATAATTTCAGTGGATATCATTAAGCTAGACGTTTTCATTTCATATAAGCTTAAGAATAATAATCAAAAATAGACTTATAATGAAAATGAAAAATGAAACGATATTCTAATGCGCATTCCTTAGTATTTATTAAATAATTAAAAAAAGAGACAGTAATGTTGATATTTTTTCCCAATCATTTATATCTGTGAGTAAATAGGAACTTTTCTACGTCAAAAAATATTTTTACATGCTTTTGTAAAAGTTAATTCCTATTTCGGTAATGTAGAATTAAATAAATGCATATGTTTGATTTCAAATATTCTTATAACATAGATTAACACAATTAAAATGAAGTTAATAAAATCTACTGGAATAAATTAATCTTTTTCTTTTAACTTTAAAATTTCTTTCTGAAAGAATGAATTTAAAGTTTTGCTGGGATTACAACTTTTTTAAAAGGCTACTGTTATGCTGAAGACAATTCTCTGCTTTGAATTCACGCTGGAATAAATAAAACAAAAAATATCAATAACTTAAACTTTATTGAATTTTAGAATCTAGGACTATTTTATATAAAAACATTGATTCAACATTTCTTTCACTTAATATTAAAATAAATCTTCAAAATGAATTCAAAATATACTTTAAAATTAGGATTACTATGGTTAAAGAATGAAAGAACAAAATTATTTTGTAATTATAACGCATTATTTTAATAAATATTACCGGGCATACGTAGCTCATTCTAACACTTTTTAAACTGAACTAAAAAATCTTAAGTAACTAAAAAATTTCGTCAACTATTAACAATACCCAAGTAGCACCTAATATTGGATATCATTAGAAAATCTGCAAAATCTAACGCTATCTTGCGCAACTTCTAATATGAAAAAGATACAAAAGGTCGGTGTTTGTTCTGCATTATATAATATTAGATTCTATGCAACTAATATTATCTGGCGTTAGCCGTAATATTATTTTACATTAGTTTTGATGCTATATAGTATTAGATTTTGTATTTTCTGATATTATCTTGCGTTGCTTTTTATTTTTGGTGTAAGCAAGAGGAAGATTTGGATGGTATAATAGAATAATTCGGCGATGTAATTTTACTTAATTTTCTGTATTAGTGTAAAGCAGTGAAACATAGAACAATAGTTCTATAATGTCATTCCATGAATTATTTTCTTAGCAATACAAAAATACTAAATAAAATTATATTAGCGAATTCAACTACCATCCATTTTTCACTCTGTTACATCAAAGTATATTTTATGTTGAGCTGATTTTTTGGAATATTTCAAATTTAATTAAGAAATAATACAATATCACAACTTTTATTGAAATTTTTTTCTTTTCTTCACACATTGAGTTTTCTGACGAATTTTATATCATTAATAATTTTCAAGACTTCTATTTTAAAAGTATTCTTAATTTTCTTCAGAAATAATTTTCTTTTATCAAAATCTCAATTGAATTTGTTAGTTTGTAAAACATGCTTTATAAATGTTGGACTTTTCGCCTTAGCAGATTGAAAGTGGATCTTGCTGAATATCCCCACTGGTTGCTTCATTTGCTGTAAGGATCGAGCTTAGAACTACCAGCTTTCTATCAGAGTGGGCAATTTAAATTTGCAGTGTCCAACAGCCCCTCTCAAAATTGAATCATGCACCGAGAAGTTTCTGCATGTGAAAGCAAACAGTTTCGTCATAGTAAATTTTCTGGAAGATGAAATTATAAGGGAAAATAAATTAAACTTTACAATGAAAATACCAAATTTAAAACCATTGAAAATTGAATATTTTTTTGAAACTTAAATCATTTGATTTGAAAATGTCTTTAAAAAATTGTAATATCCTTTAGAATGAAATTCAATGGGTAAATTCCGGTAAAAAATCCTGAGGCAAAAAATCTTGGTAGCGCCACACAAGAAGCAAAAAACACTGTTGGAAGGAGATTAACTGAAAGAGTTTAGCTCATGAACACTCCCAAGTAAAGTATCACGGATTTTTAAAAAATTTTTTTTAAAAATTCATGCTTCAGAACCTTTTAATCCTAGTAAACCTGGCAAACATTAAACCTGAAAATAACTACTCGCTATGTGGCAAGTCAACAAAGAAAAGTGGCAAAAAGTGTTAAATAAACAACTCCTTATTTTCTTTCTTTGCTTTTTTTAAAAAGGAAATCCTTTTAATGTTTAAATATGTAATTGTTGCAAAATACTCCAGGATCTGAGAATTCATCAATTCGTGGTTGAAAAAATCATGTCGAAGGAGAATTCTTTAATAATTAACATATTCCGAAATTGTAATATTAAATATATTTTGCACCCCCCAAATATTTTTACATTACGTTCTTTAAAAGTCAGTATGATTAACTAAAACCATATTTTTTATATTACGTTAACTTGTGATTTCTTTCGCACATCCAGTGAGAATGGTTCCAAGATCAGAAAATGACCAAAAATCTTCACATATGTTTCAAAAGAAATAAAATATCTTTCATTCAAATTTTTTTTAACACTTATAAGTCCCAAATTTTTAAAACGAACAAGTAAAGCTTTTCTTATTATAAACTATTCACCATTATTTACTTTCCACTGGGTAAGAAACAGATTTGCATACATGTTATAACTTCTAACGTGTTTTAATAGTCAGGGATATTTTTTTGAAAATAGGGCAGCAATGAAATGACTTTGTTAATAATATTTTTTCTCTTTTTAGTGGATAAAATTAATGACTGCGCAGAATATTTCATAATTAAATAAGCACTTCCTTAATTAAATTTTAAAATATTAGACAATTTTATAATGATGAATTTTATACAAAGTACCTAATACACGCTTTTCAAACTTTATATAAAATAAATTACAAAAGTTAAACATACTTTCAGAGAATAATTCAAAGTTAAATCTTTTTTCTTTTTTTTCTGATGATTTTTATATTATTTTATGCTAACACACACCTTATTTCCATTTTTACTAAGTTTTTTCACATCTTTTTCTTGCTTATAGAGTGAATGAGATAGCTTGCTGAGAGAATTATAATTCTCTCAGAAATTTTTTTTTTAGCTGAGCTTAAAAATCCAACCCCCTTAAATGTTTAAGAGCTAATCAATGTTTTTTAGATGTAAGGACTCTATCTAAGACTTAAATGATTCAACCAATCCCAAGTAATAAAGGAGAGTTTCACCTACCTTTTCTAAAAACATCTGGTTCAACAATGAAGGGAAAAGTGAGAGGAAATGATAAAGAAAGGTTAGTAATTCCGGTGTTTTCTGGTCTAGAAATCGGATTTAAGCAGCATTTTAAAAATTTTTTTGGAGTGAAACGAATGGATAAATTATAAAATGGTTCCATAATTTTATTTTGTAACATTTCATATATAGTATTAAAATTTTTTTCGAGCTCGAAAAAATTATACATTTACATTTAAACACGATGGCAAAGATGAGAGTGCAGGCTGAGCTCTGATGATTGGGCGTAGCTTGATCTCTATACTGCATAATCTGAAAGGAATTAAAAAGAAATAAAAAATTACGATTTTAACAAAAAGTTAAAGTTAAGAAACAAAATAATGATTAGGTATGAGTGTAAGATATAATTAGAATGAAAGATCTAAAAA